GTTCAGGAAAAATGCTTCTTAAAAACCTTTTTAATTAAAAAAAAAAAATGCGGCTGCCTGTTGGCTTAATTTCTAGCTGCTGAACTGTAAAACACTGTAAAGAAAGCGTTTTGTTCGAGGTATTTTGAGGGTGAGTGCTTTTTGGCGGTCGTCTAAGCATTAAATTTGATACTAATTATATATAAAAAAAATAGAAGTTGATCTGCGTAGTTAGTGGGTTTGACCTTAGCGTATTTCAGTAGTATTTATCACTGCTGAAGCACTCGGACTTGAGCTGTGCCCTAAAGATGAGTAACAGCTGAGTTTAAGTCCCCTCGGTGCTTTTGTGAGGCGTGTGGCAGTTCTCGTGTATTAGATATTAAAAAGCCGAAGTGACTGTTCCCTTACACTTAATCTCTGTCCAAGCGGTTGCAATCGTAATGTACTATGGGAGGATGGAACTTTAATATTTTTGCAGCATACAAGACTTTTGTAGAGTAATTTTGGAATTTTATTGCCGAGTATATGGTATGTGTCTGTTTAAAACAAATTGGGGTTTCCATCTTGCTGATACTAAAAGCTTAGGAGCAGTGGTGGTGTCACTAGGTGCTGTACTAGACGAGGCATTTGGGTGCCATCTTGACTGCTGATGGACTGTATTTTTGCAGTATTATTCCTGCCAATCGTAAAGTTCTCACTTCCTAAAAAGATGACTTCTCATTAAGGATGAGTTAGCATAACTTGCTGATTTATTAAACCTGCTACCTCATGGCAGTGACACAGAAAACTTATTAAAAATGCATTTAATACTCCATTATCTACCCTGTTCTTGATTCTTTCCACCAAAGGAGCCAGAATGCAGGTTTTTTGAATGTTTAGCCAAGTAAGCACAAGATCTCTGTGCTCTTTGTTAAGCCTGGTTCTCGTGTCTTGCAGATTCTCTCGATCTGAAGATGGCTGCACAGTCAGCACCGAAGGTTGTGCTAAAGAGCACCACCAAGATGTCTCTGAACGAGCGGTGAGGAAGCCAACAGCAGCTTCAGCTCATAAGAAATTTTTTTACTTAATTATCACTGTCCGGTGTCCAAAAACCAACGTGGTTTCTGCCCTCTTTTAACCTGACTAAAACAAGCAGATGGCTATGCACCTCTGTCTTAAACTGCAACAAATGTGGTACGCAAGGTTAAAAGGGCGAGTGTTTTGGAGAAATTTATCCATAGCAGTTAATATTAAACTATTCAACACATAAATATGGTGGGATGTGTTATAACAAAAGAGAGAAACCTCACACCCTCCCTTTTTCTTCCACATGTTTTTACATTTATATAGTTGATGCTGCAGCACGGTAGCATGTTACCTAAGCTGCAGCAGGCTTGCTGCTTTGTCCGAGGCAGACACACGTGCATGTGGTCTGGCCTGTAAGAGGCATGCAGCAGGCCATGAAACAAGCCCGAAGGCCCTTTAACAACGTTTTGGGCCTTGTAAGAGGCAAATGCTTTGCTTCATCTCCATCTCTCTCTCTCCTTGAGTTCTTTATTTCTTCTGTTGAGTATTATTCTGGTTTTTTCCCATGCTTTTTTTGCGGTTCTACGGTGACAACTAACAGTGATGCTGCAGTTACGTTTCACTTTCTTACTAATTGCTCTTGGCTTAACGAGTTTAGTAACATCGAACCAGGGAGAAAGGGAGTTGTTTGCACGCGGTTCCTGCTCTAGCAAGTTCTGCAGTGAGGTGTAGCCTGAACCGGTGCTTGGAGCTTACGCCAGGAAAGATGAGTGCCGAGGTGAGGGAAGGCTTGCTGCTGGCCTGTTTTGTTTTGGTCGGTCCATATTCCTCGTCTGTAAGTGTTTTCTTTTGCAGTTTTGTGTGGTTCCCAGGACGCAGTAGAAAGCTGATGGGTCGCCACTAAGGAGGCTTACCATCTTGCTGTATGTTCTGCTCCTGTGTAGCTCTTGGAGACAGAAGATTCTTTGTGTACCAAAGAAATTGCTTTGAAAAGTGAACTGTTCTAATAAGTGAGCACATTTGGGTGGTGGCATTTCTTACGGCAGCAGTTCTGTGGTGTGCCAGAGGCACACTGGCCTTGTTCTCAGGGGGATGTCTTCTGTAAAGCTGCCTTCCAACATTGAGTTTTTAAAACAGTTTTGTCAGAGCTTTGAGGGTTAATTTGGTTTTTGCGGTCAGATTTCGGTTTGCTTTTCTGTTTCTGTGATGTCTTCCTCTCCCATCTGTCATGATCATCTCTGCTTATTGCTTGTTTTCATTCCTTCTGCCATTTCTAAAATCAGTAACCTAAAGCTTTATCACTTCTGAATTAATATGCAACATCATTTCTGAGTTTCCAGTTCTTGCACACTTGTGGAAAACAAGGAATACGTAATCACATATGACGTGACCTAAGTACCACTCTTTACGTAAGGTTCATGGGATCTGGAGATCCAATCTTGAGAACCATGAAATGCCAATAAATGTATGTAATAAAGCTTTATTTAAACACCCATTTTATTCGACCTTGAAGCTTTACTAACATGCTGAAGAACAAACAGCCGATGCCAGTGAATATTCGGGCTACCATGCAGCAGCAGCAGCAGCTAGCCAGTGCCAGAAACAGAAGACTGGCCCAGCAGATGGAGAACAGACCTTCTGTCCAGGCTGCTTTGAAGCTCAAACAGGTGAGAGACAGCGGCGTGTTTTGGGGCAGCCCGTTGATGTCTGTCACCGGTAGATGGCTTTTCAGGATGTGGTGGATTTTGAAAAACGCTCCTGAAAGTTAAAAACGAGAGACCTAGAAAGGACTTGCAGAAAATCTCACTTTTTACGTCAGATAAGTAATGCTTTGTAACTTACTGGTTAATGTTATTGAGTTGGGGTTTTTTTTTGTGCTGGTTGTTCATATCTCCTCTCTATTTTTTCAGAGAAATGTTCTCATTCTGGGTTTCTGGATCTGCCGAGTGCTTCATCTCGCAATCTAGCTGCAGTTACAATTGCTGCAGGCTGTTTCCAGTACTTGCTATCCAGTTAAGGCTGGTTGCTCCCATCCCCAACTCCACCCTCTCTTGGTGCACTCCCTCGATAGCAGCTGGCTGCGAGGATCAGATGAACAAACTGATTTTTTGATTGCTTGCGAATGCTAGAATGCAGGCCTGGATTCAAGGCATAGTGTTGCGTTCTCCTTACATAAAGAGTCTTTATCGTTCCACATTTCAGTGAGGAGTGCTACAGATTACGGTGTGTTCCTCAAATTGCCTTCGGTAGAGCAAACGTGTTAGATTTTGCTTTCTCTGCTGCAGTCGATGTGCTTCTCTGTAGCTCTGGACTTAGGGAAGGGGCTGGGGGCAAAATCTCGCTACAGCAGAAACCTCAATAACATACGGAAGAGCGCTGTTTGTCTAGGGTCCGCTCGCTGTCAGGCTGCAGGAGATTTTGCAAGTTTTAAAGCTTATATTTAAATGGGAAGGCTGGTAAGGTTAACTTAAAATGTACGTGTAGGGCACAAATTGAAACCTGTGGGGTAGCGCTGCGCAGCTGTGTGGTGAGTTCAAATAGCGGCACTGCATGACTTTGACTTTTGAAGTAGTTAAATACAATTCTCTACATTATCTCGCACACGAGAAGAAAGCCCTGGAAATTTCTTAGCTGAGCTGCTTCACCAAATAGCTGGAATGCTTAAACCTGCCCCACATGCTCACATTCAGGGCTCATTCTCTGATAAAAAGGAATGCAGCTGCTTTTTAAGATCTCTTGAGACTTCTGTTGTAAAAACAGACTCTGGTGCCAGTTAGCCTTGCAGAGCTTGTAAACAAAAGCTCTGGAAATGGTAGTCTAAATTATTTTCTGCTGAAAAAGAAAGAGAAGTTTGAAAAGTTAAGAATTTCACAAGTGGTAAGTGAAACCAATTGAAAGCATGAAGTTTCTGCATGCTGAATTGAGGTGCTGCAGAGGAGCAGGGGGAAAACTGATCCTTAGCTCTTAAACCCCTTTGATTTTATTTTTTTTTTTTTTTACGTTGGGCATAGTGTGC